TATATATATATATATATATATATAGAAAGCTGTTATATTTTAACAATACAAAATAAATATAAATACATAAATTCTTGCACAGTTTGGACACAAGAAAATACAGAAAAATTAGCTATATGCATTGTAAAAGCAGACTATTGGAACTGGATACATAAAGTTCTATGACTAAGAAATCAAAGTAATAACTGATCCCAAAAGTAGAATGTAAATCCATCAACTTCAATTTATAACCAGTTCCATCTAAGGTAGAATGTAAAGCCTGTAGCAAATATTAAGCCAGTTTAAGTAGACAAAACAAGGATCCGTTCAATTTGTTGAACATCAGTCAGTATAAGCATTATGTTTTGTCGGTTAAACATCAGTCAGTCCGGACTAGTGCAGGCGACTATACACGGTTCTATTTTTCTTTTTTTTTTGAGGTACCGGATTAACCAGTTCAATTAAATAAAAAAACTGTATTAAAAATTTGTCCGCTTCTACATATGATTAAGAACTGTATGCAATTGCAGAAGCTTTAGGAAGATGGGCAGTACCTTTTTAATTAGAACTAATCAAAAAAGTATAAGAGAGCTGATGCAACAAACCATTCAAGAACCAGAACAACGAATATTTCTTGTTAAACTAATCTAGTGGTCTTTGATTTCTTGTTAAACCATTTCTAGAAATTTGGACTCATAAAAAATAGGTCGAAAGTTGTGAGGAAATTATGTTGATTAGAAATTAGGAAAGAAATATCATGGCTTCCCGGTAACCAACAGGAAATCCCAAGAGTCGCCGCCTATCCTCAAACTTCCATTTATGGATCAAGAGCAAACGAAGATACCAAAAATAAGTGTCCAGCCAACTCCAAACTAGCCTAATGACATCTGACATTGATATGGTATATGAGCCATACCATAACAGGTTTTAAATGTATTTAATTAATAAAACTCAGTCATTGATTGTGAACTAGGCATTCAATCAGATGATTGAGGATATCTCAATATTTTACAAAATATATTTTTATTCTAAAGAGTAATATATAAAAATTGTAGACGGATCACTTTCTCCTATTACAGACATGAGAAGAATCAACATTTCAAATTTCATCTCTAAACTGAGCATTATCAGTTCTCAAACTTTTGTATAATCTCTTATAAATTAGTAAAATTATAGGCATATAAATTGTGTTACTGACTTTTTTTTCTCTGCTCGCTCTAAATTATTAGATTTGATATTGAAAAAGAAGATTGGCAATGATAATGAGATTCTAGATTCTACTTGCTGGACAGCAGAGAATCTTATACTAAAACTAAAATGTGCACAGTATATATCTTGTCCTAAAAAACGTGAAATCATGTTATGACACCTCCGTTTTTATCTCCAAAAATTATTTTCATTTTCTTTTGGTGATAAAAAAAAAACTCATGTTATTTAAATGAAATATTTGTCAATTATCATAATTGTACTTCATACAGTTTAGTCTTCTTCATTTACATATATACTTAATGAACGCTCCTACATTTTTTTTCTTTTCTTTTCCATCTCAAATGCTGTCCTATAGTTTTAATTCTATAATGATTCATATTATAACATGAATAGAACAAATATACCAATTTTTAAGATGCATATGTAATAATCTAAGACCCAAAACTTTATTTTGCACACATAATCATGAATCTGTGTGTTCGTACTTCGTATCACATTTGTGATTTGTAGAGAACCTAAGTTTTTCTTTTTTGGGTGCCATTTACATACCACTCAATTCTTACGTATTTTTGTATCGCATATGGATCCTTAGCCTGTGGTGCTTCTTCCTTAAACATGTTTGTCAATCATATAGACAGTGTTTGCTCTTATTGTTTGATGAAGGATTTTTTAGTGATTAGAAAGACAAGAAGCCTGTCATCACCAGTGTTGGTTTTAGATGACCTGTTCTAAGGCTAAAAAGATGGTCGCGCTTTGTGGTGTTAAGACCTACTGAAGCACTCCTTATGATGATTTATGGAGATGCCCGGCTGTGATGTGGTCTTTTATTAAGCTGATGTTGTTGTTCGTGGTTATTTTGATATTTCTTATTCAATAGATGAAATTGGTGCAATAGGTAACATCATTATCTTTGTCTCAACTTAAAACACAGCGTATCTGAATAGATCTAAAACACAATGCAAAAAAAAAGTATAGTGCAAAGGTGCTCTAATTTATCTTGAAGACGGAAATTTTGTATACCTCGTATGTACTCACGAGTCCATCAAGGTCTTTACATCCAACTTTTGTCCATTATAAAATAAAAAGAGTTCAAAATCCCTGCTATCACATAAGACATTGAGACGATTATGTGAATCGATTAAAATGCTCAAATACATTTAAAAAAGATAAATATAATCTCATGTGCATAAGTTGTATAGCCATGTAGGACATGTAAAAGTTTATTAGAAAATGTGTAATTCCTTTGTAGGAACAAAAGAAAAATCGCAAAATATAAATAATTCCAAATATGTAAGGTTTTAGCATCTGTGCGATGAGGCTGCTGCCCTGAATTATGATATGATGGTTGAGAGGGTTCCATAATATCACAGTGATCTTCATTCATTGACTAAGAATATATATATATATATATATATATATATATAATAACATAAATATAATAAAGGAAGAGTTACATATGTATTTCTATGTATAACACAAAGTGCACAAGTAAAATTGAAATTTGTGTTAGATATGGAAATACATAGAAAAGGGTGGTATGAATGTACATGGCCCAAATATGAAAAAAGATAAAAAAAAACACATAATTCATATAAAATAGTACTAATATCTCAAATACATCAAAAGATATATGAATCCATCATTTCAGTTTCCAATAACACAAAAAAAAGTATTCAATGAGCATAAAAATACAAAATTTCTATGAACATAGTAATCCCCCGAACATTAAAACAACTATCAATCTATGAGATAAACCTTCATTAACCTTAAAATAAAAAATAAAAAAATACATTAAACAAAAGTGCATAAAAAAGAAGATAAATACATAAGATTCCCCCTCAATTCGTCATTCAGCTTAAGGTTCGTTGCATCCCTGTTAAGAACAAACACAATTAATTAATAATTTTAAAATGATTAAAATGAAATAAAATATTTAATTACTTAAAAAATAATATACTGAGTTTGATCCTCCTTGTGGTTGATAATTGAACTGTATTTGTTGAACTAATTCTTACCGCATTCCGTAAGGAACACAGCTCATCTTCTAATTTTTCAACTCGAGCAGAAATAAACATACTATTGCTTTCACCTGTAGGTGCGGTATTGTGTGGAAAAAATCGAGTTGGAGTGACTCAAAACCCCTGTGGTACCATTCCAGGGTGTTCAAGACACATGAAAGCCATGAAAGGCCTCTCATTTGCTTCTATATTACTATATTCTGGAGTTAATCCTTCCATCTCTAACATTATACAAGCTTGTGTCTACATAAAAAAAAGCATCTATAATTAAAATCAAAATGATTTATTTAATTAATCATTATAAATATAATAAGCTAATAGTATTACTCATTCTCCATATCGTATTTAGATGACAATGTCTCATCCTTTTGTATCTTATTAAGCCTCTATAACTGCAGTCTACATGTATAGCTTGGAAAAGAAAATGATAAAAAAAATTTAATTTGACATACTTACTATTAAAAAATTATTAAAAAAATAATGTCATACAGTTTCAGTCTGTCTCCTGACAAGGCTATTCTGACCCATTCTGTTTTTTTTTTTCATTTTCAGTAATTTTTGTTCTGCAAGAAATTAGATAAAATATAATAAAAACCTGATCAACTAACCACTGTCACAAGTTGACATCATTGAAGTGTGTCTACTCCTTCAGGAACATCCTCCCATGTATGTGACAATATCCCAATGCTCCGACATTAGGCTAATCTTGTAGTTAAGCGATTTAGTGCCAACAAAATTCAAAATCTAATGACGCATATGGCCAGGAATTTCAAATTTAACTTGCAAATAACTTGGTTAAAAATTATGTGTAAAATAACAAAAAATAATATAAAATATTTAATATATTCCAAAATACCTCTATCTCTACTAATAGTTTTTTTTAAAAGGCATTGTTTCGACAATCAGAAAATGATATGGCTGTCAACGCAAGATCTCTAGCAATAACACCCATATATGATCCTAATATATTAGACTCTGGTACGGTGCTTGCCAAACCGTCATCGTTTACTTTTAGCTCGGAGGTAGATTTTGAAGATCTGTACATGTGACTTTTCACCTACGGTACATTGAAGGCCATTGATTATGTTGAATATATATATAGCAATATAATGTGTGTAACCGTTGGCCTGTTGTATGACAACTTCGGCGTAAGTCTCCTATGTCCCGGGTTCGAATCCATCAGAGTTAAATTAGCACATATGGGGTGGATAGACATATGTTGTGTGAGATAAGCACACACACATATACAGGGTTTAGAGTTTTTGTATGTATGTATGTTTGTATGTATGTATGTATCTAGCAATATAAACAAACTTATATTTGATCGCTCACATACCTGTAGGCAAGGTCCCAACATCGGAGCGATGAGGCTACTGTCCTGAACTGTGATATGATGGTTGAAATCGTTCTAGAGTATCACTGCAATCTTTATCCACTGAATTATGATTTGTTGTAAACTATGAATTAGCTAATCTACCATTTTCCCAACTATTGGACACACCTCTAGAAATAACATTTTATGCGCGCCTAAATGTTCTACTACCCGTCATTTTTAAAATTAAAAATAAATATCACATAAATTTCATAAATCTATAGGACTTGAAAAAGAAAAGTTGCATTTACATACATACCACCCAATTCCTATGTATTTACAACCATATGGCATGAAGGAAAATTCTCAAAGTTATATTGGCTTGAAAGTATTGTTGCATCAGCAAATTCTCACCCTGTGCCCTAACCACTAACAGACCACAACAACCTAGCAAAATCAAGGATCGCCTTCATCCCAAACACGAAAACAAGCATAAGGAAAACAACTGATGCATTCATAATTGACAATAGCATTTGTATGGTAAACATTCAATAAAAGGGCCGATTCCTACTGAAAAGATACCAAAAGAGAATGCTTTTAGAGAAAGAACAAAGCGTAAGAAGCTCAATCATAAAAGAGATTAAAGATTCTCTCTCCAATTTTACCAAGAACATAATATTAATCTCAAAAAAGCATTTAGGAATTCCTAAGGCTAATCTAAGAAAAACAACAGAGGCATAAATAATTGACAATAGCATTTGTATGATAAGCATTTAATAAAAACGCATGCAATGATTATTTCTATCAGGCACTAACCTTCCCTTCAAATGCTTCAACAGCAGCTTGGGGCCTTCAATGATAAAGAACTGGGAAAGCTCTTTGCCTTTATTACATAAGCATTTCACTTAAGTTAGCAACCTTAATTTTTAATTTTTTATTGCATAGAGCATGTTCTTAGAACGGAGAGGACCCATTGCGGAATTGTTTATAATTTTGCACCTCAAAACATACATACAATCAAATATTAATTTTTAATTAGTTGACTATCACTAATAATCATGTTAGAGCATAACAAACAATTCAACGAAAGAACATAGTACTTTGAAGTTAATTAATGTTTAAACCATGTTCGACAATACTCTTCCCTTTAAAGTTTGACATTATCGTATCACTTGTTATGCCTGACCATTTCAATGGGCAAGGCTTGAAGGGAGCCGCCTTTTTACCAAGCCTAAGCACAGATGAGCTCAAGGCTTCCAATTATTGCCAACTTGGCCTCAAATGAATGTTAAGAGGTTAAAACCAATACTATGATTTTTGTCATCTGTTCTAGCAAAATTTACATGCAACAAAAAAATCTAAATATAACAAAAGTAACTTAATTCCAAGAATATCAGGCTCACATACTTGTAGGCAAGGTCCCAACATCAGAGCGATGAGGTTGTTGTCCTAAGTTGTGATATGATGGTTGAGATGGTTCCAAAGCATCACTGCGATCTTCATCCATTGAATTGGGATTTGTTCGTGTGGTTCCAAAGTGGATTGTTTTTGTGCACGTCCAAGTGATCTACTACGAGTCATTTCTGAAATTAAAAATATATATCACATATTTTTTTATGAATCAATAGGAAAAAAATCTCAAACTAAGAGTTTGATTTAGAAAAAAATTGCTCAATTTAAAATGAACACTCAAAGTATTTAAATGAGCTTGTTCACCCATACCTCGACATAGCAACTATGTATTATCAAAAGCTACAAGTCAAAAAAGATTCTTAAGCAATGATTTATCATAATAAAATAGACTAAGAAATACAACAAAACCTAAGTGATCACATACCTGTAGGCAAGGTTCCAGTATCAGAGCGATGAGGCTACTGTCCCGAACTATGATATGATGGTTGACATATTCCAGAGTATCACAGCGATCTTCATCCATTGAATTGGGATTTATTGGTGCAAACTGTGAGTTAGCTAATATATCATTTTTTTCCTATTAGATACACCTCTAGAAACAACTTTTTGTGCACACCCACGCAATCTAGTACCTGTCATTTCTGAAATTAAAAATACATATCACATAATTTTCATGAATCAATTGAACATGAAAAGAAAAAGGGACATTTACATATATACCACCCAATTCCTATGTATTTACATCCACATGGCAAATTCTCAAATTTCTGTTGTGTGAGTAGTGATATATTTGAGATTTAAAATGATCGACGACAAAGAGAATAAAATAGCACGAGAAAATTCACACCAAAAGAACGCACAGATTTACGTGGTTCGGTAAATTGCCTACATCCACGGAGTTGCAAAAGATTTTACTACTTGAGAAATTTGCACAATAATGTTTCAATTTATAAGAAACACTTATCTCAACTTCAAGGAATTACAAATTCGATGTATTCCTTCACCGTTGTTTTTTCTCGACGCTGCCAGTTTCTTTTGCCTCGGGCTTCTCTCAGTAAGCCTTCCTCTCTTCTTTCAGTGAGTAGAACCACCGAAGTAGTCCCTCTCGTTGTCGAAGCCCCGTCCGCTGTAGTGTTTTTTTTTTCGTAAGCCTTACACAGGAACCGAATTCTTGAAACAGCCTTGGAGTTCGGTTTCCAAAGCGGGAATTCAATGGCAGAAAAAAGATATTTAATTCTCCTCTTTTTGCTTGCATTGATGGTGGTGGGGCCAACCAAAGCAAAAGTCACACCTCTTCCAAAGTATAGGAGGCGGGAATAGTTACAACAAGCAATAGTTTTTTTTTTGTTTTTTTTATTTTATAAATTAGGCTCCACATAACAAATCTCCCACTTAGAGATTGGTACACAGATTGCAACGTCTTCTTCCTCAAATTAACATCCTCCACTGGCGATGTTGCCATTTTCTTCAAACATGAATCCTCCACCTCTGCTACTCAAATCTCCTGTCTTCAAGTTAGAAGACCAACTGAAGCTCCACACAGCTTCAGTTTTTCCAGAGTAACACCCTTTGTCAACATATCAGTAGGGTTCTGGCTTCCACAAATTTTCTCAAGCTTTTCTCAAGCATCAGCATCAACTGTCCGTCATCCAACAATAATCGTATGAAGTGATACCTGACCTGAATGTGCTTTGTCCTGGACTGAAATGTTGGATTCCTGGTAAAGAATATAACGCTCTGACTGTCACTGTAGAGAATGCCCTTTTAATCCTTCTTGCCCAATTCTTTCAAGAAGCCCTGTAGCCATATCATCTCCTTTGTAGCCTCTGATACTGATATGTACTCAGCTTCTGTAGTAGACAACGAAACTGTCTTCTGCAGATTAGAGCCCCATGATACTGCAGTGCCACCAATAGTGTAAATATAGCCTGTAGTACTTCTTCTAGTATCAGTGTCTCCAGCTAGATCAACATCAACATAGCCCCGTACCTCTGAACTCTTTCCTGAGAAACACAAGCAAGTTTCTGCAGAGCCTCTTAGGTACCTCAAGATCCACTTCACTGCTTCCCAATGTTCCTTTCCAGAATTACTCATGTATCTGCTAACGACTCCCACTGCATGGGCAATATCAGGTCTGGTGCAAACCATAGCATACATAAGTGAACTAATAGCTGAAGCATAAGGAACCTTACTCATGTAATATCATTCCTCCTCTGACTTGGGTGACTGATTCTTATTGAGTTTTAAGTGACTTCCCAAGGGTGTGCCAACTGGTTTGGCCTTATCCATATAAAATCTACTAAGTACCCTTTTTACATACTCAGCCCGAGAGAGTCTCAACATGCCTCTGACATGCCTCTGACTCTATCTCTGACCAAGGATTTGCTTTGCAGCTCCCAAATCCTTCATTGCAAAGTGCTCTGACATCTGCTCCTTTGCTCTGACTGACATCTGCTCCTTCAGATTTTTGATCTCCTCAATGCTAGCACCTGCAATAAGCATATCATCCACATACAGCAGTAAGATGATATAAGAATTGCCAAAATACCCGACATAGCAACAGTGATCTGTCTGACATCTTTTGTACCCTGCACTGTGCATGAAATTATAAAATTTCTTGTACCAAGGAGCTTGCTTTAGGCCATACAAGCTCTTCTTCAATCTGCAAACTGACTCTTC